TGATCCCACTATCAGGGGCCCCTCAAACAGACCAAGCTACACAACTGTCTCCCTAATGCAGAGGGCGTAGTCCAGTCCCATGAAGATTCCACAGCTGCTGGTCTAAAGTTCGTGAGTTCTTATGAGCTTTTCTCAGTTGTCTCCATAGATTTCCCTATTATGATCTTGATGCCCCTTGCTCATAGAATCCCTCTTCCCTCTTTTCGACTGGACTCCTGGAGCTCGACTTATTGCTTGGCTGGATCTCTGTATCTGCTTCCACCAGTTACTGGATAAAGGGTCTATGATGACAGTTAGGGTATTCACCAATCTGACTCCTGGGGTAGGACAGTTCATGCACCCTCTCCACTATTGCTAGTAGTCTAATCTGGGATCCTCCTTATGGATTCCTGGGAATCTCCCTAGCACCAGGTTTCTCCCTTATCCCGTAATGTCTCCCTCTATCAAGAAATCTCTTTCATTGCTCTCCTAGTCTGTCTGTTTCACAGCTCGACCATTCCGTTCCCTCATGTTCTCATCCCTACACCCTCCCCTCTATTGCCCCACTTTGTCCTCAGTTTAGTCATGGTGATCTCATCTATTTTCCCCTACCAAGGTGATCCATGGGTCCTTCTTAGGGTTCACCTTGTTTCCTAGCTTCTCTGGGGCTGTGAGTTGTACTCCGATTATCCTTTGTTTTACATCTAGTATCCACTTATGAATGAGTACATACCATGTTTCTTTCTGAGTCTGGGTTACCTCACTCAGGATAATATTTTCTAGTTCCATCCATTTGCCTGCAAATTTCATGATGTTATTGCTTTTTTTTAACAGCTAAGTAGTACTTCACTGTGTATATGTATCACATTTGCTTTATCCATTTGTTGGTTGAAAGGCATCTAGGTTGTTCCCAGGTTCTGGCTATTAAAAATAATGCTGCTATTAACGTAATTAAGCAAGTGTCCTTGTCCTATGATTGATCATCCTTTGGGTATATGCCTAAGAGTAGAATCATTGGGTCTTGAGGTAGATTGATTCCCAATTTTCTGAGAAATCTCCATACTGATTTCCAGAGTGGCTGTACAAGGGTGCACTTCCAACAACAGCGGAGGAGTGTAGCTAGAATTTTCCTGCGTGGCCCACAGTCAGGACAAATCTCTGTCACTGCCAGTCCCACAGCCACTCAGACCCAACCAAGTAAACACAGAGACTTATATTGCTTATAAACTGTATGGCCGTGGCAGGATTCTTGTTAACTGTTCTTATATCTTAAATTAATCCATTTCTATAAATCTATACCTTGCCACGTGGCTCGTGGCTTACTGGCATCTTCACATGCTGCTTGTCATGGCGGCGGCTGGCAGTGTCTCCCTCCACCTTCCTGTTCTCACAATTCTCCTGTTAGTCCCGCCTATACTTCCTGCCTGGTCACTGGCCAATCAGTGTTTTATTTATTGACCAATCAGAACAATTTGACATACAGATCATCCCACAACAGAGGAGAGTTCCCCTTGCTCCACATCCTCTCCAACATAAGCTGTCATCAGTGTTTTTGATCTTAGCCATTCTGACAAGTGTAAGATTATGGTGATATACTGTGTACCCTAAAAAAGCTTGCCTATGGATAAGAGCACAAAACAAATATAGAGGACAGGTAGTGGTGGAACACACCTTTAATCCTAGCACTCAGGAGGCAGAGATCCCTCTGGATCTCTGTGAGTTCAGGGCCATCCTGGACTACATGAGATTGACTCACTCTAGGAAAGAAACAGAACCAGGCAGTGGTGGCACACACCTTTAGTCCCAGTACTGGGAAGCACACAGGCCTTTAATTCCAGGAAGTGATATAGGTGGGCAGAGAACGGTATATAAGGCGAGAGGAGACAGGAACAAAAGGCTTTTTTCGCTGAGGCCTTTTGGGTGAGGACTCAGGCTTTAAGTCTGAGGATTCATGGAAACAGGATCAGCTGAGGAGTTGGCAAGGTTAGGTTGGCTGTCACTTGCTCTGCTTCTCTGATTTTTCAACATTCACCTCAATATCTGGTTCCAGGTTTTTTATTATAAGACCATTTAAGATTCAAAAAACATAAGATGATATCTCAGAGTCATTTTGATTTGCATTTCCCTGATGAATAAGGATGTTGAGCAATTCATTAAATGTCTTTTGACCATTTGAGATTCATTTATCTGTTGAGAATTCTCTGCTTCAATCTGTAGACCATTTGTTTTTTTAAATTGTATTTGTTAGGTATTTTGATGTCTAGTTTCTTGAGTTCTTTATATATTATGGAGATCAGCCCTCTGTCATATGTGGGGTTAGTGAAAATCTTTTCCCATTCTGTAGGCTGTCTTTTTGTCTTATTTACTGTGTCCTTTGCCTTACAGAAGTGTCTCCACTTCAGAAGGTCCCATTTATTAATTGTTTCTCTTAGTATCTGTGCTACTGGTGCTATATTTAGGAAGTGGTCTCCTATGCCAAGGTATTCTAGGCTACTTCCTACTTTCTCTTCTCTCAGGTTCAGTGTAATTGGATTTATGTTGAGGTCTTTGATCCACTTGGACTTGAGTTTTGTATATGATTATAGATACGGATCTATTTGCAGTCTTCTACATGTTGATATCCAGTTATGCCAGCACCATTTGTTGAAGTTGCTTTCTTTTTTCCATTGTATAGTTTTGGCTTCTTTGTCAAAAATTCATAGGTGTGTGAATTAATGTCAGGGTCTTCAATTCAATTCCATTTGCCCACCTGTAGGTTTTTGTGGCAGTACCAAGCTGTTTTTATTACTATAGCTCTATAGTAGAGCTTGAGGTCAGGGATGACGATACCTCCAGAGGTTCCTTTATTGTCCAGGATTCTGTTAGCTATCCTAGGATTTTTGTTTTTCCATATGAAGTTGAGAACTGTTTTTTCGAGTCTGTGAAGAATTGTTTTGAGATTTTGATGCATTGAATCTGTTGATTGCTTTTGATAAGATTGGCATTTTTATTATGTTGGTTCTAACTACCCATGAACATTAAGATCTTTTCATTTTCTGATATCTTTTTCAATATCTTTCTTCAAGGACTTAAAGTTCTTTACATATAGGTCTTTCACTTGTTTGCTTAGCATTATCCCAAGATATTTTATATTATTTGTGGCTATAATAAAGGGCGTTGTTTCTCTGATTTCTTTTTCAGACCATTTATTATTTGTATGTAGGAGACTACTGATTTTTTTTTGAGTTAATCATGAATCCAGCCACATTACTAAAGATGTTTATCAGCTGTAGGAGCCCCCTGGTAGAATTTTTGGGGTCACTTATATATACTATCATATCATCTGAAAATAGTGAAAGTTTGACTTCTTCCTTTCCAATTTGTATCCCCTTGATCTCCTTTTGTTGTCTTATTGCTCTAGTTAGAACTTCAAGTACTATATGAAATAGATATGGGGAGAGTGGACAACCTTGTCTTGTTCCTGATTTTAGTGGAATAGCTTTGACTTTTTCTCCATTTACTTTGATATTGGCTATCAGCTTGCTGTAAATTGCCTTTGTTAAGTTTAGGTATGTTCCTTGTATTCCTGATCTCTCCAAGACCTTTATCATGAAGGGGTGTTGGATTTTGCCAAAGGCTTTTTCAGCATCTAATTAGGTGATCATGTGGATTTTTTTTCTTTCAGTTTCTTTATATGATGGATTACATTAACAGATTTTCATATGTTGAACCATCCCTGCATCTCTAGGTTGAAGTCTACTTGGTCATGGTGGATGAATTTTTGATGTGTTCTTGGATTTACCAGTATTTTATTTAATATTTTTGCATCAATGTTCATGAGGGAGATCGGTCTGTAGTTCTCTTTCTTTGTTGCATCTTTGTGTGGTTTGGGTATCAGGGTAACTGTAGCCTCATAGAAAGAGTTTGACAATGTTTCTTCTGTTTCTATTGTGTGGAACAATTTGAGGAGTATTGATATTAGCTCTTCTTTGAAATTCTGGTAGAATTCTGCACTGAAGCCATCTGGTTCTGGGCTTTTTTGGGGGGAGACTTTTAATTCCTGCTTCTATTTTCGTAGATGCTATAGGTCTATTTTAATTGTTTATCTGGTCTTGATTTAATTTGTGAATGTGGTAACTTTCAAGAAAATTGTCCATTTCTTTTAGATTTTCCAATTTTGTGACCACACAATGTTTTACCTAAAGGCATTAGCCTATTGTCTGATGAAATGATACCCTACTATGAGTGACCTAGATAAGAAATTGAATTCTTTACAAAACTATAAAACCCAAGCCAGAAGGGTCACAGGAAGGATGTGGAGAGTTGGCAAACAGAACCATGTTCTCTGGTAGATATCATTAGTCACCTTATTTTCTTTGAAATATCCAAGGAAGCCGGGCGGTGGTGGCGCACGCCTTTAATCCCAGCACTCGGGAGGCAGAACCAGGCGGATCTCTGTGAGTTCGAGGCCAGCCTGGTCTCCAAAGCGAGTTCCAGGAAAGGCGCAAAGCTACACAGAGAAAACCCTGTCTCGAAAAACCAAAAAAAAAAAAAAAAAAAAAAAAAAAAGATGAAATATCCAAGGACAAGATCATGTATGACTCCTCAGATGGGTAAGTGCACAAAGCACATGTGTCTAAGAGCATATATCCTCCCCCACTTCCTGTCACTCTCTGTCTGACTCTGAGGACCTTTGCATCTTATTTGCTTCACAAGACCACAAAGCTTTTAAACCATAAATGGAAGCATTTTATGGCTATTATTTAGGAAGCTGTCTATTAAAATTGTCATTTCACGTTTAATGTAAGATACAGTCTCGTTGTGTAGCCCAGGCTAGCTTCAAACTTACAGTGATCCTCCTGCCTCAGCTTCCTGAGTTCTAGGATTATACCTGTGCCACCCAACTTAAATGTATTTACCAATGCTATATATCTTTTATTTTTAACAAATGTTCTCTTTTACTACCTGGCATGCATGACTATATGTGCTTATGAGATACAATGTGACAATTTGATTCGTGAATACATTAAATAATAATTAAATTAGAATAATTAATACATCTATCACCTTAAAATTTTGTCAATTTTTTTATGGTAAAATTTTTCAAAATGAAAGGGGCAATATTTTAAAAGGTTTTCAAATTATCGTGCCACAAAAGACCATCTCATCTTATCGTAAGATTGTTCTTTTCTGTTGGTCAAGCCCCTCCTTACTTTCCTCTCACCTCCCCTGTCTCTTGTAAGCATCATTGTAAGTTCCTCCTGAGGTCCGCTTATATAGAATCTACATGAGTAACATTATGTGCTATTGCACAAGGCTTTCCTAGTAGCATAGTATTCCATCTTGCCATCCAGCACATTGTCCACTCATCTGTTGGTGGACGTTTAAGTACATCATATGTAAATGTTAACAGTCCCGTGATGACCACAGAGAACAGAGGTCTCTTCCATGAGATGGTTTTGTTTCCTTTAGTACATATTAGGAGTGAGATTGGCAGTTCTATTCTTAGCTTTTTGAGGAATTTTTCCACTGTCTTCTGCTGTGGATGATTTATTGATAAATAAAATGCTGATTGGCCAGTAGCCAGGCAGGAAGTATAGGTGGGACAAGGAGAGAAGAGAATTTTGTGGAGTGGAAGGCTGAGGCAGAGAGATGCTGCCGGGTGCCTCCATGACAAGCAACATGTAAAGTACTGGTAAACCACGAGCCATGTGACATGGTGTAGATTAATAGAAATGGGTTAAGATATAAGAACTAGATAACAAGAAGCCTGCCACGGCCATACAGTTTATAAGTAATATAAGTCTCTGTGTGTTTACTTGGCTGCGGGACTGGCGGGTGAGAGAGATTTGTCCTGACCCTGGGCCAGGCAGGACCAGGGAAACTTCAGCTACAGTCTTCCATAATGAGTGCACTAACAGGTATTTTCCTGATTAACTGTGCATAAGAGTTTCCTTTGCAGTCTTCCAAATATTAAGTACTTGTGTATCTGTGTGTGTGTGTGTGTGTGTGTGTGTGTGTGTGTGTGTGTGTATGTGTGTGTGTTTGATTTTGGAGTAATTGTCTTTCTAGCTAGGGAGAGGGCATGTCCATTGTGGTTCTGATGTGCAATTTCTTGATGGTTACTGATGTCAAGAAGGTTTTCATGCCTGTGGTGGCCATCTGTGAGTCTAAGTCTTTTTCTTCAGTTGTGCTGGTTATCTGTAAGCCCTTCTGCGACTTGCCCCTCAATTTGTTAGCCATCTGAGTCTTCCAGGGTCTCCTCACTTCCTCAGTTCACAGAACCACTGGAACTGAGGACTTTTGGACTGTAAAAATCAGATTATCTTAGATCTTTATAAACTAGAATATTAAATCCTTATCAGATGTGTAGTCCACATCTTTTTTTCTCCATCTGAATGTTGTGTTTTAGGGTTTTTTCCAATAGTTGTTTCCTTTGCAGTGGAGAAGTACTTAGTACTATAGTTTCACTTGTCAATCTTGATTTCCATCCTTCTGGAGCCATAGCAAAAACGTCCTTACCTAGCTGGGCGGCAGTGGCACACACCTTTAATCCTAGCACTTGGGAGGCAGAGCCAGGCAGATCTTTGTTAGTTCGAGGCCAGCCTGCTCTACAGAGTGAGTTCCAGGACAGGCACCAAAACTACACTGAGAAACCCTGTCTTGAAAAACAAAACAAAAAAAAAACAAAAAAAAGTCTTTATCTGGGTAATGTCCTGAAGGGTTTCTTAAAAGAGTTTAACATTTGTAGATTTATTTTTATTTGTAGCTTGTAAGAGATAGGAGCTTGTAAGAGATAGGAGCCTAATTATATTCTTCTGCATAATGATAGCAGATTTTTGGAGCATTGTTTATTGAGAGGTAATTTATTTTATTTTTCAATGTGCATTCTTGCCTCCTTTGTTAAAATTCCCATGGTTAAGAATGAGGTTGAATCTCAGTGCCAGAGAGCCTGTCAAACATGTATACAGTAGCCAAGTTCAGTCTTCAACACTGCTTCACACACACACACACACACACACACACACACACACACACACACATTAGCATAAATGTGTAAAGTTACTTTTGGATTCCGTATTCTGTCCTGCTTTTCAGTGTCTATTTTTCTGCCAATTGTTTGTTATTTGAGTTTGAAGTCAGGTGATGTAATGATTCCCATTTTCTGTTTCACTTATTTCTGGGATTTTTTCTTTTTCAAGTTGAATGCTCACAGTGTCTAAATGTAGTATGGAAATTATGTGGATTCATGTCCTGTGCCACTGCTGATTTTCCTTTAAAAACATTTGAGGGCATTGTTAGCACCCAGAAGCACATATTTCAGAAGCTACAGAGAATATAGATTGTGATAGCAAAAATTCAAAGTGAGAAGATAGAGGTAAAATGAACCATTTTATTTTCCCTTAAGCCAGAATTACTTGATTATGATAAGTTGTTATTATTACAAGGTATTTTTAGTAAGCTTTTAGGTCAACACAAGGTAAAACATATAATATACATACCAAAAATAAAAATTAAACACAAAGAATCATGTGCACCAGAATGAAAATCAGTGAACAACAAGGAAGACACTGTAGAGAAGACAGAAAAGAACACCCTGCAAGACAAACAGGAGAAAAGTAGCACCATCCGGGTGCTAAGTCCTCAACAGACAGAATTCCTTTAACGTAAACAGTATACATTTTCTGAATGAGTGGCATGCAGCAAAGGAGTTGGTAGAAATGGAAGATTCAGTGTATGTAGTCTAGGAAGATAACTTTACCCGAAGGAACGAGGCTGAAAGACCATGAATGACAAAGGACATTCTGTGCCAATGGAAACAAAATGAGAACAGGAAGAAATGCAGATAAAACAGACCAGGTCAGAACTATGAATCAAGGCAAACACGGCCGTTATGTGTTGGTGGAGGCTTCCAAACAGCAAGACTACATCAGTGTAAATACATTTGCACCCACCACTGACACATCAGAACACACAGGCAAACATTAGGAGACTGAAAGATATGTTAAATCTAGTGCAAAGACAATAAAGGGACTAGTCCAGAGTCACGCAGACAGAAATGTCAGCAAGGAAATAAAGGGTTCTTAAAAGAGCTATTCACATGTTTTTAAACCAATCCTAAAGCTAAATATAATGAAGTTTGCAAGAAATATGCTTCTTCCAAAAATGTGCTCCACCTTCAACTTGAGAATTGTTCTCTTAGCATTAAAACAAATAATGGTGCTCTTGAAATATTGAGAACATTCAGAGATACTCTGTTTTAATGGAGTTTGCCTTCGTGGCCCGAAGTGCTCTTTTTTTCTTTTTTCCTCCCCAAAACATATTTATTCTCTGGCAGCATCAGAGGATTTAGCAAACTGAACGCACTGTTTTAACTTAACCCTGCCTTGTCCTCATCTAGCTCATCATTAATTTTAGTAACTTATAAGCAAGACAAATCTCACACTTCACAAAAACCATGGAGCCCATTCATTTCAAGGAGCCAGTGTTGCCACCATGCCCTCTGTCACTGGGGAGGATGGGGTATGTTAACACTTAGGTCTCCTACCTGGGGGAGCAGAACATGTGGAGGCTGTGGAGCATGCACTTTACATTCCCTGAAGTCTCTGTCACATGTTGTAGTAGCTCTGATTGTAAATCAATTCCATTTCTAGCATTATAAGAAGGCTCCTGTTGTTTAAATCCATGAAGGCTGCCCTATGGCCTTTCCACAATATCATAAACAGTTGTGGTCTAAACCAGCCAAACATCTCTGCTAAGCCTAGAGATCCATTCAGGGAAGAATTGAATAGGAAAGCCATATATTTCTTTATTATTCATGGTTAGTATTTATTTTTAATTCCTTTACACTAAATTTAAATATCACATTAAACAGAGAACTGTACATGTAAATGGGTGATGTGGTGTTGGACAGAGTGTATGCTGTGTAATGCATGGGTAGGTTTAAAGACATCTATCTCCTCAAATACTTATCATTTCTCCAGGATAATAAGTTTAAGAGAACTTTCTTCTAACTTCTTGAAAGGATTACTCCTACATACAGTCCCTGCTTTACATTAGTCCACTCCAGAACTCTGTTACCTATGATGAAGCACCCTTGACTAACCTATGCCCAGCCTTCCTTTGGTACTGCCCTCCTGCCTCTGATAAATATCACTCTATTCTCAACTGATAGTATTACATTCTAGAGATGTAACTGTCTCATGCAGAGCAAAAAAGTATAATCTAGCCTAGCTTGTAATAGCTGCTCTCAAAAAGGGAACCCAATGCAAAGGAGGACTGACCTGTTTATAGAGATACAAAGAACCTGAAGAATGGAATGTTGATGACATTGTTGAACCATTGGAATTTCAAGTTACATGAACAATGGTTGCATCCTGTATCACTTAATATCAAAACCACTTGATGTGGTTACACCATTTGGTTTGTAATTAAGTTATTCACACAAGATTATTGTATAAAAAATGTCCCATGATTCTAAAAATTAAATGACCTTGGACCTCCCTGCAGCTGGAAAGCTTCCACTCTTGTGAGCTAAATTATTTTATTGATGTAAAAGTTGACTTGCTTAATTCAGCTTAAACTGTTGGCTTGTGTTTGTGAAGAATCCTGTTTAACTATGAGCCAGATTCCCCTTGAAGGAGACCCAGGGTCCACAAAGGTTGGGGAGCTGAATCAGGCTAGAGTTGTTGTCTGCTGAACCTGCGTTCTGAGGGTGTGGATGTGGATGGTGTTAGAATAAACTTTGGAGTCAGCTCTCTCCTTCTATTGTGTGGTTCCCAGGAATCAAACTCAGGTCATCAGGACTTATAAGCCTCATCCTGATGAAAAAATTAAATGCAGTTCTTTACCTTTAAAAATAAAGATACATGCAAACTTTCAATTGCTGAAATTTTAGTTATTCTACACAATTCAGTAAATACTGCTAACACTGTACTTAATCATTAAAGTAGACATTTAAGGAGTGCATAAGAGGTATATGCTTATCACAGTTACTCAACATTGTATCATGGTATAAACTAAAATAATAAGATAAACCATAGTATTTAACAAGCATGTATTACAAAGCTTTTCACATACATGTAAAATTTAAAGAAGTATTTTTCCTCAAATCCCATGATTTATCTTTTTAATTCATGTTTCATTTAATACTCATACATGCATTTAATGTGTTTTAATCAAATCCACCCAATTATTTCCCTACAATTCCATTCATATGCCCCTACCACTTTTCTCTCCCAACTTCATATGCTAGTTTCTAATTATTTAATATCTACTGAGTTCCATTTAATTCTGCCTATACATTCATGAGTATGGACCTGTCTATGGGAGCATGACTCCTCTTGGGTTAAGGAACCCTGTAGAAAATACAATAATTTCCCTCTTCTCATAGACATAAGTCATGTGTATCTTCTTAGATGGAGTGAGACTCATGAGTCCCTCCGCATGATCCATGTTGGGATATTTGTAGCTTGATCTTGTACAGGCTTTGTGTTTGTGGTCAGAGTCACTGTGAGCTCATATTGCAATGATGCTTTAACACCTGGCAAATACTATTTCAGGGCAGGTGTCCACTTCTGAATCTGTCAGCATTCCTGCCCCTTCCCTCTTCAGTGATGCCAGAGACTTGGATTGAGTGTGTGATAAAGATGTCCCATTTAGAACCAAACATTCCATATTCTTTTATTCTCTGCAAGATGACCATTTTGATCTCTTTATTAATCACCTTCTATTGCAGAAAGAAACTTATCTAGTAAGGGCTGATGATTCACTGGTTTATGGGCATAAAGATAAGAACTCTGAGTACAGATCAATATTATGACCATTTAGCAGAATAATATGATGCAGTTCTCTGGTAGGGCCTATGACCTAGCCAGCCAGGATTTTTTTGTTTGTTTGGCCAAGTTAACATTAGATGGCATGAATTCTTTCATGCAGAGAGATCTTTAAATCCAGTCAAAAGTGGTTGGGTTTTCCCATAGTATTATGTTACTATTGCATCATTGGACCTACCTTACCAGACCATAGGTTATCTTTGCTAGCAGGTTCACAGTTGAGAAGACTGTTACTGGCTTCTCTTCCCTGGTAGTGTTCACAGAACATTCTGGCACTGTGGGTTTTATCCAATAAGAAGGAAACTACCATCTTGATTTTTCCTGGTCTTATGTCTGAGCCTTTTGGACTGCATCAGAGTCTAGAAGGTAACCAAAAGCAACAGCAATAGGTTGTAATGTTTTAGGGCATCTGCAGGACCCCATTGACCAACAACCCACACCTACTGCTATTTTTTTATCTGAAAGTCTGTGGTATCTAGGAGAGGAATTGTTGCCTCACTATAGAGTAACTCTAATTACATTCCTTAATATATGACTGTGTATATATTTTGAGAACCTTCTACAATTTGCAAAGTTCCTTAGTTATCACTCCTCATCGTCTCTTCTAGCCAGCTCCCATCTCCCATCCTGTTTAACTTTTCTTGTCCTATTATTCTGCTTTCTCCATTCATACCATTTGCATTCTATCCCTATTACCATGAATCCACCTGCATGACCCCTCAGTAGTTCCCTATCCTCTATCAGACTCTAAACATACACATGTCTGAAGATCCAAAGGAAGAGTTCACTTATGAGGCAGAACATGTAGCATTGGTCTTTCCAGGTCGAGCTCCACACTTGAAGTCAACTTAGTGTTCTACTCTAATTTCTGTGCCACATGTCTAGCAATGCTCTTTATCATTATAATATATATAAAGTTTGGTGGTGTGGGATAATTTTTTGTATACTATGAAGATGAGTCTCTGTTTTACCTCACCTAAGATGCCTTCTGATTGGTTTAATAAAGAGCTGAATGGCTAATAGTTAGGCAGGACAAGATAGGCAGGGCTTCCAGGGAAAGAGAGGAGCTCAAAGGAAGAATCTGAGAGGTGAGGATTCTCCAGGGAGACGCAGGAAGTTGGACATACTGTACTGAGGAGAAGTATTGAGACATATGGCAGAATGTAGATTAATATAAAAGGGTTAATTTAATTTGTAAGAGCTAGTTGTGTATAAGCCTAAACTAAGGCCAAGCTTTCATACTTAGTAATAAGTCTCTGTCTCATTATTTGGGAAGTGGTGATCCAAAGAAAGTCCAAATACATTTGATGTTCGACGTCAGGCACTTAGGGTCTAAAAACAGATGGTATACTGCTCAGCTGGAAACTAGGTAGAAATGCCTGTTGTAGTTCTGCCCAACAACTTCCCAGAGCTGGGTGGGTAAGTACAGCTCCTGACCAGTGATGTCAGGCATAAAGCTGGGCTCTCACAGACCTGAGGGGTCAGAGACAGCAGCCAGCACCACGTTCTAAGTAAAGCCACAAAGGGAACCTGCAGACACACAGAAGGGCTTTGCAACATTTTTGCAACAATTTCCTGGAGCCGGGCATGCAGAAAGCTAGGTCCAGATGAGAAAAACTCTGAGCAGGTATAGTATGCTTAAAGATGTGTTTAGGAACTGAAAAAAGAAAAGAAAATGAGTAAAGTCTTTAAAAAGAGAGTAAAGTAATATAAAAAGGAATGAGCCACATGAAGATGAGAAGTATTCTACAGGAAGCTTGGATCCTATATAATGCATTATTAATTTAAAATGTTTAAATGCTAATGAACAAAAAATGACAGCTGCTGAGAGACATTGGATTTGGAAAAAAAAAGCTACTAATTTTAATCATCCAATATATTTTAAGGATGTCTTAACTTCATAATGAAAGTCAGGAAATTAATTGCATTGGAGGAGAGGTAATGCTTTTATTTCCACAGGAAACAAAGAATTATGGACTCCCTCAGAATTATTAAAGGTCGGGTTTGACTAGGGGAGAACTCCTGAAAATCTTGGATGCAGACATGAAGGAAGAGAATCAAGAAGAAAAACTACAGGACAGGTGACATATATGCTGATGCCTCTACATGGAAACAGCTGAGACTGGATGAAATATGATAAATCTTGTTGGCTACAGAGTCTTCATGGCTTATTATTATATGCCATTCTTTAATATAACATGGATGCAGATTTATATTACAGTTTATTTATGCAGTGCAAGCAGACTTATAATGTTGACAGATGCCTTTTACTGGCTCAAGCATAGAGCAGACAATCATCTTCAGCTAATTTGTGCACACAGCACATTCCATACTCATGTTCATGCATATAATGTATGTAACTTTGTGAAGTTTGTGTGTTCTCAGGGGAAAAAAAGACCATATGCCAATGAAAACAATTAGCCCAGGTGATCCAGCCTCTCAGAATGCCTCCCTTGTCATTCCCTCAAAATTCTACATCCAGAGTAACTTCAAAGTGGCTAGCTAAGATGGTCCCAGACTAACAGGCTATTCCAGCCAGAACTTCAGATAAGCTCTGCACTTTCCCATCACACAAAGAGTGGACAACAAATGATACAGCCAGCTCCCCCAGCACTTGACCATTATCTCAATTTTCTCAGGGTCTGCTAAAGATGCTGTTATCCCCAGACAACAGGAAGCAGTGTAGAGAATGTGACATCCACATTCCCAAAAGGTGATGAGGGTAGTTTTTGGTCATGTCATGGGTTATGGTTGTTTGATATTATTTAGGGGGGTTAGTTGCAAGTTGTTACTGGTCATGTTCAGGGAAGAAGCTAAACAAAGGAGGTTAGATTAAGACATTTCTTTCTTTCTTCCTTTTTTATTTCCTGTATTCTTCTTTCTCTTCTATCTGGTGTTGAAAAAAATAAAGGTGGAGATAAAAAGAAAGAAAGAGGGAATATAGGAATGATAGAAAAAATGGATATATTATTGAATCTATTAAAAAGGAACTACTAGTCTCAAATATTTTACTTTGGTATGGATTTGTGTAAATTGATACAAATTTAAGTTTATTTTTGTTATAACATAACTATATATATATATATATATATATATATATATATATATATATATATATATACACACACACATTCTTGTTTAAAGCATTGTACCTATGCAGCTGATTTTCAAATATAATGTAAAGTTCTATTCCTTGAAAGTTATTGTTACAAACTGTATAGCATAATTAAGAAATGCAGATTAGTAGCCATCTATAACAATCAAACTTGTAGTCAATTAAGGTATTTTTTTAAGATTAAACAGATACATTGTAGGCATATAGGTGGTCTTCAAATACTTCAGAGATCTACAGAATATGATATTTATGACATTTTAATAACATAAGTCTTTTCATGACAGTGAGACATGTCTGCTCCTTGCTGCACCAATCTACTTCAAAGAAGAGGATAACATCAAAGAACCCCCATATGGAGTCTGCTTTCAATGTGGCAAAGCTAGCTACTGGGCAAGACACTGCCCTTGCCTTTACTGGTGACAGTATGTTCTCCAAACTGGACAATCTGTACACAAATGAAGTTGACTGCTTATATTTGCCAAGACAAGGTAGGCAAGTCCTTCAAAACTCCTGCTAAACAGAAAAGTCTGCCAAATATTCTAGACTTGCAGGTCAAAGACAAGATGGATGCTCAAACATTGCAGAGGAACCTTGGGTGACTGTCCAGGCAGCCTGCTGTCTTTATCATTTCTCACAGTTTTGGGAGTTGCTTGTTCACACTTCCCATTTATTCAGGTAACATTTTATCCTTCTCAGACCTCTGATAGGGGTGAGCACTCAATTAGTTATAGTTTTACAGTTTTTCTTGTTACCAAATTTAGAAAAGAAACTTACAAAAGAGATACAAAGTTTAAAAGGTTGAGAGACATAAAAACTTAAGTTGTGTTGCTAGAGTTTTCCTGCCTTGCCCACAGTCAGGACAAATCTCTCTCACCTGCCAGTCCCACAGCCGCTCAGACCCAACCAAGTAAACACAGAGACTTATATTGCTTACAAACTGTATGGCTGTGGCAGGCTTCTTGCTAACTGTTCTTACAGCTTAAATTAATCCATTTCCATAAATCTATACCTTGCCATGTGGCTTGTGGCTTACTGGCATCTTCACATGCTGCTTGTCATGGCAGTGACTGGCAGTGACTCCTTCTGCCTTCCTGTTCTTTCTTTTCTCCTCTCTGTTAGTCCCGCCTATACTTCCTGCCTAGCCACTGGTCAATCAGTGTTTTATTTATTGACCAATCAGAGCAATTTGACATACAGACCATCCCACAGCAAAGTTGTTTACCTAAGAAAATACTTTAAAATCTAAAAAGATGTTTTTAGGTTGGTAATATAAGTTACATTAGAAAGTGGTTTTGATAAAAACTTTGGACTCACCAAGAAAGGCTAGATAATAGAGCAATTTCTCTGAAGTTGCCAAATACAAATGGACTGGATATGTGAATGTGATTTTTACCTGATAATTGTTCTTATTATGTATAAGTTTACTGTGTTAGAGTTAAAAATCTTTCCTTTTTATTTAGACAAAAATGGAGAAATGTTGTAGGATAATCTTTTTGTATACCTTGAAGATGTGTCTCAGTTTTACCTCACCTGTCTAAGGCACCTTCCAATTGCTTTAATAAAGAGCTGAATGGTCAATAGCTAGGCAGCAGAAGATAGATGGGACTTCTGGCAAAAGAGAGGAACTCAGGAAGAACCTGAGAGGCAACGATTTGCCAGTAAGACACGGAGGAAGTAAGATCTACTGTTCTGGGGAGAGGTAACAAGCCACATAGTAGAACATAGATTAATATAAACAGGTTAATTTAAGCTTAAGAGCTAGTTGGGAACAAGCCTAAGCTAAGGCCAAGATTTTATATTTAATAAGTCTCTGTGTCATTATTTGGGAGTTGGTGGTCCAAAGAAATTCCAACTAGAGTTTGGTTGATTTTGTTTAAATTAGCATCATTTAGATGTCTATAGCTTTTCTTTTACAAAAATTTTGAAATATCAATTTCATTTTTTAAAATCAATTTAGTAAATTTTTAATATCAATTTTTATACAGTAATCTTTAGCATTTTGAGTCATCATATGGGGAGATGTCACTTTCCATGTATGATTCATAATATATATATATATATATATATATATATATATATATATATATATATATATATATATATATATAGAGAGAGAGAGAGAGAGAGAGAGAGAGAGAGAAAATTAAGAATTTTGGGTTTCACAAAATCTTGAGTATAGTTTATATTTTGTTTTCACCATCTAGTTATTTGGATGAAATAAGGACATTACTGATAATAGGGAGATGCCTGTCTAGATTCAAAAGTTTGCTTAATTTTTCTTCTAGAAGGAAATTAAATCATCTGAACTGAAACTATGATGTACATTTCTGCTATGGCATGTGGAGCAGGATAACTTTGTGGATGTCCTCTGCTCGATCGTTCAGACATCAGTCAATGCTTTGGGTAGTGGCCAGATCTCCTAATTCAGTACAACATTCCCTCTCCTGTGGGAATTCTGGGTTGAGGAAAGCATTCCCAGAAGTAAAGAGTTTTAAATGTTCACCATCTATTCATACCATCATTATGTTGGCTAAGGTCCTCTGCAAGCATTTGCATTTAGCAGCGGAAAGATACATGTTTTTCTCCACACATTCATGACTCCTTTGCTTTCAAATTGTTTCTCTACTTTTATACATTTTCATCTTATTTCTGGACCAAGGAAGCCTATCACCTTCACCCACTGAAGTTGTAGATTTCTGCTGCCTCTCTTACAAGGGCCAGCATGTACATAAACTCACTGTGCCATCCATGTAGCAGAAATTACCCATGAAAAAATGCTTACCAGGCATTGCTGGTTGTTGCATACTTTTCCATGTTTATAAAGTGTATGCTTTCATTTTAACAATTTCACATTCCTTTATACTAGTTATGTGATGAGAATAATAATTTAAAACTCATGTTGGTATTATCATTGATTGTGGTATTCTGATGAAATTTTTGTAAGTCTTTGCAAAAAATTATATGTGTATTTAGAAAACTATACTTACTGCATTTCAAAACCATTTCTATTTCTCTCAAATGCTCTCCTCTTTAAAGCCTCATTAAAGTATGGCTTTCCCCCAGAAATCCTATCTGTAACTTGGGACCTTCTTTGGATGTACAAATAGATTATTCCCTTTAGCATATCCCTCCAGTATTCTTTTTATCACACACGCAACGATTCCCTTCTTAACCACTACATGATCTGTACCATTTCTAGGGGAGAGATGTGGACCTTGCACATGGTTTACCATTTGTGTTACATTGCAGAATCGATGGAACATGCAGCGTGGTTTGGTGCATATCAGTCTGTCTCACCGAGAATATTTAAGAAACCATTTTTTCTTTGAAACTAGTAACTGTTTAAGGTTTTTTTTTTTAAGTCATTGAAATGCTTTTTGTGGTAATATTTTCTTTGGTTTTAACTTTAATTTTCTGCATCACTAATTTTGGAGATTCTTGTAAGATACTTATTATTCATATAATCCCACAAAGGAAAAACAATGCATTACAGAATTTCTAGTTGGATCCTGGAAGCAACAGGTAAGTTGTTTGGGGAATGTGCTGAGGATATAGTCCATGTAGTTTAATGTAAGCCTATTTCTTGACTGTGTTCACAAGAGGGGGAAGTGAGTGCCATAGCATTGGCCTACAGCTTTTATTTGAAGTTCTGATAGAAACACTGTCAGCATGTGAATACGCATCTAACCAGAGCATCTGTTATTTCTTCTTTCCTTCCTTACACACACTGAAATAGGATTTCTGAAGAATTTAGAGCTACATTTTGCCTTTCCATGATGATAAGGAAGTACCTCTTGCTGACCTACTCATGGTTAATTCTTTTAAAAATATTTGATTATGTTTATTCTTAAGACATAGAGATACTTATTTTTGTTTATCTTAGCTCTTGCTGCCTTTACTTTGGTTCAGGTTTCCTATCGCACTTCTAGTCCTATCATATTTAAGTATCTGAGATTTTTCTGTACAGACACCATGTGGTAGTTTGAATGATTAGTCATAAAGGAGTAGCACTACTTGAGAAGGATCAGGAAGTATGGCCTTGTTGGAGAAAATATGTCACTTGAGTAAGCTTTGAGGTTTCAAAAGCCCCTGCCAGGCCTTATCTCTCTCTCTCTCTCTCTCTCTCTCTCTCTCTCTCTCTCTCTCTCTCTTTGCCTGTCAATCAGGATATAGCTTCCAACTACTTCTTCAGGATTATGTCCCCCATACCTGCCTCCATGATCTCCACCATAATGAAAATGGACTAAGTCTCTGAAACTACAATAAAACCTCTGATTAAATTCTTTCTCTGATAAGAGTTGCCTTGGACATGGCATCTCTTTACAGGAAAAGAAGAGTAACAAAGACAGAAATTGTTACTAGGAGTGGGATACTTATGTGATAGGCTTGACTATGTTGTTTGTTGGAGAAATATGGAAGACTTTGGGTCTTTGGTCTAGAAAAGTGGTTGGATGCTTTAAGGGGGACTTAATGAGCCATCCTTGTTGTAGTGGGTAGCCATTCCAGCTTTGATCTGGAAGTTCCAACCCCCATTGAGACTTCGGCAACTGTCACGCCTACAAGGCGGGGCGAAAGGAGGCGCCTGGGGACCTGAGATCTGGATCGGTGGGCTCTCTCTCGGTTGCGGGAGCTTGGACTGGAGAGGTGTACCAAGCAGAGCTCCAGAGAACACCGCTGGACTGCGATACACCTTCCCCAGACTCCGCGACCTACCTATCCCTTAATTTGTAAGTTACGCCATTAAATAAATCTCCTTTTATCTACGTGGAGTGGCCTTAATAATTTCACCAATACTTGTAGCATGAAAAACAGTGCTGAGAGTAATTTGAACATGGAGGTAAGACTCAAATTTTTCATAGGAGAAGAAAAATAGTAAGTGGCCTTGAGATTATTCTTGTGATGTTTTAGCAAAGAATATGGCTGTTTTGCCCTTGTCCTAAAATCTGCCTGAGGTTAAATGGAAGAATTTGAATTAATGGCATTGACAGAGGATATTTCAAGACAGCTTATACTGACTGTTTCATGTGGTTGTTTGTGGTCACTGTATGCAAATCTATAGTAAAAAGGAGAAAGTGGAACAAGGAGAAATACAAAATGTACAGTTTGAGGATAAAAGGAGCACTGGGAAGCGTAATGGAACTAAGTCCTGCTGTGGATATCACTCTGTATAAATAAAATGCTGATTGGCCAGTAGCCAGGCAGGAAGTTGTAGTGGAGGATCTAGCTCAGTCAGTAGAGCATGAGACTCTTAATCTCAGAGTCGTGGGTTCAAGCCCCACGTTGAGAACCAAATGTAGATGTAACCAACCGTCTTATTAAATAAGAAACACAGAACCAATGCAAAGAAGAAAGCCAAGAGGTCAGAGCTAAGAGCTAAAACCTTACCCTTCCTCCTGTGGTAGTCCTACCTCTCTGAAAGAGAGCTACTTCCTGTGTTAAAGTCTTTATATAGACTTTCTGTTCTGCCTTCTCATTGGTTGTAAGCCCAACCACATGACTGCCTTGTCACTGCCAGTCTGTACAGACTTTCAGGTCTTCTATGGTTGGTATTGAGAGTAAAGGCATGTGTATCCAATGCTGGCTGTATCCCTGAAAACACAGAGACTTACCTAGCTCTGCCTACCAAGTGCTGGGATTACAAGCATACACTACCACTGCCCAACTTTTCTATGGCTTGCTAATAGCTCTGACCCCTGGGCAACTTTATTTATTAATATACAAATAACATTTTAATACAAATAAAATATCACCATAGGAAGTATAGGCAGGACAAGGAGAGAGGAGAATTCTGGGAAGTGGAAGGTTGAAACAGAGAGATGCTGCCAGCGGCTGCCATGACAATTGAGATGTAAAGTACCTGTAAGCCACGAGCCACATGGCAACTTATAGACTAATAGAAATGGGTTAGTTTAAGATATAAGAACAGCTAGCAAGAAGCTTGAGCCATTAGGCCAACCAGTTTAGATAATATAAGCATCTGTGTGTTTATTTTATAAGTGGTCTGCGGGATTGTGGGAGGCTTGGTGGGACATGGAGGGAAACTCTTCAGCTACATTTGGCACCCAATGGCTCAAGTTTCCACCTTAAACCTGAGAATATTTAATAAGCAATTCTAAACAGAGCCAAAACCAGGTTCCTGCTTCATGTCTCATACAGGTGACTAGATGCCACAACATGCAGGCTTGAGCTACTCTATGGCAGGTTCAAGACATGTGGCCTTGACCTATTCCTGCCGAGTTACACAGAAGTTTCTGTAAGCCATGCAACATGGTACATGGTGGATATATTCATTACTAATAAAAAAAAAAAGAGGTTTCTGGGCTACATGCTGGTTTGATAGAAGCATAGACCCACTGTTTCTGAGAGTTGATGGGCCCCAGAGCTAGCGGTAAAAGTACCACCACCATGTTGGGAAGCTGAGGTGGGCAAAGCCAGCAGCCACAGCACCTTTTCAGTCTTAGAATGTTACAGTTCAAAGCAATAGTTACACAATAAGGCAGATTCAGTTAAAACAACACTTTAAATGGTTTACATGTGTGTAAAAATGTACATAGGCTTGGAAGAGAGAGAAAAAGGAATATATGCAGTTATATAAACAAATTGTTTTTAAAAATAAAGTCTTTATAAAGACAGTAAAGGTAGTATAAAAAATAAGCCACGAAAAGTTGGATATTACACAGAGAATCTGGATTGTGTTGTCTTTGGGATTCTTAACTGCAGAAAAACATTTGATTGTAAAAGCTATTGAGTTAAGCCAATATGTATATTTTAAAGATACCTTGACTTCAATATTTGGTTCTAAGGATATATTGCTTTGGAAAGGAGGCTCTGCTTTTGTTTCCACAGAAAGCCAGAGGCTGTAGATTTGTTCCACATTAAGATACATCAGGTTTGACCAGCCAGGACCCCCTGAAAGGTCTCCGAAGACACCATGGCCCAGATCATCCAACATCCAGAATGGTTTTAAGGCAATTGGCTCAGA